GATTTGAAAAAGAGGATGCTGGAGGAAGAAGATGAAATGAAGAATGGAATTCCATTTCATTGAATTAATTGTTTGACTCAAAAAAATGGTGGTAAAAGTTGTTTTGGAGGAGGCAAAGAGCGGGAAAAAGAAGGATGAATGAAGAAGATTTGAAAAAGAGGATGCTGGAGGAAGAAGATGAAGGTAAAATTGTAATTTTGGTGGGTTACATGACATGAATATAATCTGTTATGTTGTCATATCATCATTTTGATCTGACGTGTCTAAAATTTTTGCCATATCATTAACTCACTGTGAGTTAACGGTGGATATTTAACGGAAGGACCAAATCAGGGTCAAAATGGTAAACAGTAGGGATCAAATCAGGAATTTTTTAGTTTAGTGACCAAATCGGGGGTCCGTACAATAGTTCAGGGACTAAAATGGGGTTTTAATCTAAATTATTAATATAAAAAGTAAAAGTGATGGAGATATAATTTAGAGTGGTAAATAAGAAGAAAATATGCAATAGTAAATTAAGAAATGGTGTTACAGGAAAAAATAATAAGAGGTGGGTAAAACTACGCAAGTAAAAAGAATATCAATGGAGTAATGCAAAAAAGTTTTGTCATTTATGTTTTTACTTAAAACATTTTGGATATAGATAAGCGAAGAGGAAGAGTTGGAATTAACGTGTATATATATAATAATCAATAGATATGCAAGAAGTGACAAAAAAATAAGTTTAGGTACCATTTTGATCCCTCAACTTTTTACTTTGACACTAAAATTGTCCCTCAATTTTAAAAAATACTAAAAATATTCTTAAACTTTCATTTTTTATGCCAAAATGATCCTTCCGTCAATTAAGTAACAGGTGACAATGTTAAAATGCCACAAAATCATATTTTTCAAAAAAAATAATAATTACGTGGAATCCATACGACAAGTGATGAGATGGTAATTTTTCTTTTTTCATGTGTCATATTTTTTCTATTTAAATAAAAAACTCACATAATATAATATTATATATTATATTGTTCATCTTCTTCCTCCATTCTTCTCTCTCATCCCTCTGCCTCTTCCTCTTTCCCAGCCTACTTCCTCTTTTTCCTTCCTCCTTCTACCTTTTTCTTGTTGTTTCTCTCTCCCTTTTGTTATTCTTCCTCTTTCCCCTTCCAGATCTGTGTGGGTTCTCCCTTGAGAACTCAGATCTAGGTTCTCTCTCTAAGAAAGAACCCAATTTTTAGTTCTAAGAAAACCATTATCCATGAGAGCCATGGATCGATGATGGACATAATCGATTGAGCCAAGGATTACAAAGATTTGAGCCCTTCGACATTAATTGCAGGAACCCAGATCTGGGTTGTTTCCATACAGGCTAAGTTTTTTTGCTTTCTTTTTCTTTTTTGGTGTGTATTTGGTTGCCATGAAAGAGTGGTTTCTTTGGGTATTCACAGATTCTTAGGAAACAAAACTACAAACAATGAATCACGAAGGAATTCTTTGACCTTGGTGATGAATCGGAAGGCACATTTAAGATTAAAATTAGAGGAGTTTTGGGAGAAGGCTAGTGGCAATTCTCTTTTGTGAGTATTCTTAAAAATCAAAATAAATGATTCATCAACAATAAATATTAAGAATTTTAATTTTTCTCAAATTAAATTTTATTTTTCTTTAAATTTTTTTATTTATTATTTTATATTTTTATATTCATAGCTATAATTTCAAGTTTTATTATTTTTACTATAAACTAATTTAATCAACTACGACTACGATGTAACCTAATCAATTTAATATAAATTTTATCATTTTTTATACTTTTAATTAAAGTTATTTGCATAATGAGTTTTTATTATTGATCTTAATGCTTTAGAAGCTTGATCACCTTTTGATAATTATGTGATTTATGAATGAACTTAAAAATAATTGCGTAAAATAGACCAATAACAATATAAACCATGTATTATATTGTGAGATCGAAAAATAATTAGTGTCACGTATGATAGTGGGGAAAGAGAAGAGAGTTAAAAGCTCTCCCTTGGATTTCCACATTAGTTAATGCTCATTAGTTTATTTTAAATTATATAAAGATATAACTAATTTAACAACCAGGTGAAAGATCAATTTGACTTAAGAAAGCTAATTAATTAATAGATTTGTATATACTGTATCCTAAGGGCACAGGGTAAGATTCATTTATTATATATTTTTTTATCATTAATCATGCACTAATTTATATAGAAAAATAAAAAAGTTAACATTGATTTTAACATCTATAGCACATGGATATTTTTTATTGAATAATTGGTAAAATTAATATCCACTTTTAGTTTTACTATGTATATTAATGATAAAGATCTGCGTAACTTTTATTATGAATTATGATCATTGACAAGTTGTCATTCATTTTATGGAACAAGATGTAGCTCCGCGGTGATATTTAGGAGAGGAAAGAAAGTTATTCAGTCATTGTCAATTGTCAACAAAGATGTTTTGTCAACGAAAGAACCTAGAACTCAAAACT